ATTTACTGGATTTGTGGCAAATCGTCTCTATGGTATTTGAACCCAGGTCTTATAACTTCACAACTGGTGACTTGACTTTCTTTATTTATTTCTTACTTAAAAATTGGCTTAGTCTGGGAGGGGCAGTGTCTTGACAATCTGAAAGGTTTTTACAGTTGGTGAGTTTTCTGCCACACCAAGCAGCCAATTGAGTGAGCAAATTTGTTATATAAATTTTTTCTATAAATTATTTTCTAAAATAATTTTTTATATTCTGTTACGTGAACCCGTTCACTGAAAATACAGAGGTATGTTCCAGAATTTAAAAATATAGGTGTTATGCTCTGTTAATAAAATCACCAGTAAGAATACAGCATGTCTTTATAATCACATAGCTTAAGGAAAATAACCTTTTGATAAACTAATATCAAATAATGACAGATACTAGATATCTAGTATGGACATCAATAAGTGCCATTGTCAAAATACATTAAAATAATACTCTAAAAGTAAAGCCAGAAAAAGTGATTTGGTTTTTAAATGCCTTAATTTAGGAATTAAGTGACAGATAATGGTACTGCAAGCCAAGATAAATGTATGCTGCAAATTTAGGCTGCCAAAAATGTGTAGATTATGTTGAGCTGCCTTATTTCATCTTGAAATGATGAAATAGACAAATGAATCTAGCAGGAAGTCATTCAACTGAAAGAGATGGAAGATGAAGCATTCACAATAACATGGATCTGGTAAAGCCCACTACCTTTCCTCTTTCTCTTTCCTCCCCACCCTGATCATCACCCCAGACTGGGCAGGGACAGTGACAAGAGACGGCTTGGGGTTGGGGTAAGGGGTAGACTTGGCTCTGGTGATAGCTTGTCAGATACAATATGGCCTTAGTTTTCAAACGTTCTTTCAGCATAGGGCCTGTTTATAGCACCAAGGCTGCCGAAGACCGGGGCGTAGGATCGTGGATTGTGGCCTGAGGTACTTATTTGCTTGAGAAAAATTGCTGCCAGATGAGTGGCTTCAGAAAGCTGAGGCTGCTGCTGTGGTCGCTAGTGGGTAGAGGATTAAAGGGAATGCAGCTTTTCCTCTCCTGTCTAAATATTTGCTGGAGAGCAAATGGGTTTTTGTGTGTATGTGTATTTCCTTTTCTATTGGGGAAATTACAAGTAATACAGGAACATCCTGTGGTAAAATATATGAAGTAGAGGCTGAGGAAGCAGATGGATGAAGCAGAACTGTGCCCCAGGTCTGCGGCATGCTGCATGATGACCAAACGCTTGGCATGGTGAATTGGTAACTCTACAGATGATTAACTAGAGGGTAAACAAGAAAGGTATGAAGCATAAATATGAGGTAGGCCATTCCATCAGCAGCTTTTAGTGTAAAAAGCATCCATTCCCATCAAAGAGACCAGCAATATTTTTACAAGCTTAAATTTTGTTTTATTTTAATTAAGTACCCACCCTGGAAGATTTCCAGTGAGAATAAACCCATGTAATCTCAAATACTCATGCATCTGAATGAGCAGAACTTTCTTTGTGTTTCTTTTTCTTTTCTTTCTTTCTTTTTTTTTTTTTTTTTTTTTTGAGACCAAATCTCCCTCTGTTGCCCAGACTGGAGTGCAGCGATGTGATCTCCGCTCACTACAACCTCTGCCTCTTGGGTTCAAGCGATTCTCCACCTCAGCCTCCCGAGTAGCTGAGACTATAGGCACGCGCCACCACGCCTGGCTAATTTTTGTATTTTTTAGTAGAAACAGGGTTTCAGCATGTTGGCCAGGCTGGTCTCGAACTCCTGACTTCAAGTGATCCACCCACCTCGGCCTCCCAAAGTGCTGGACTTACAGGTGTGAGCCACTGCGCCCGGCCTTCTTTGTGTTTCTTAAAGTAGTATGATACATGAGTCTCCCAATTCCATATCTGCTAATCTGGTTAGATGCCTGCACCAACTAGTGAGACGGATAACTCAGAGTATAACTATGGGTTTTCAAGCAAAGAAACATAGGAAAGGTCTGAACCTGTAATTGTTAACTTTGCCAAAAATAGGAATATAGAAATTTCTTGAAAATACTAATCTTCGTTCTCATTACTCCTCTTCAAAAGGAGGTTTACGTATGGCTCCAAATTAATAGACTTGCCTTACTTACATTTTGAGTTGCCAATCCTCAACTTAATAAAATTGCATATTAACAAATATTTTATAACCACAAATTACATTTCAAATTATTTGCTTGCCACCTTTTAATAAATTGAGTACTCTTTTCCAGAGGAGCCTCTTTTGGAGCTTGAAAAAAGCCCTCTCAGCAGGGTAACAGGAAGACCCCCTCCGCCAGCCAAAAGAGTCCCACTGAGCTCCTGCTGGTGAGAGAGGTTGTTAGAAGAGATGTGAGAGGCAGAAAGACTGGCTGCTGGCTGTAGCTCCTCCTTTCCACCCCCACCTCCTCCCCAGAGACTGGGAGAGAGCGCCAGTGTGGGCCCATTGCCCTTATTCTCTTGGTCCAGTCCTGCTAACCAGGGAAAGTGAAGAGCTGGCTGGTCCTCTGCATGCCAGGAACTACCAGGAGGGCTCCCAGTTTCCTCCCTCCCTCCTCCTGCTGGACCCTCTTAGAGAAAAGTCTTCTGCCTCTTTCTGGAAATAGCTTTTTTCATGGATCTGGGCTGTGGAGAGAAGATATGACTGTATCTTTTCTTGCTAAAATGTAGTTATATTCGTGATTGAATGCCTAGAGCAGGAGAGACATCAGGGTGTTGACAGGGTGGTGCCCAGATTAGAAACGTTCTTTCCACAGCACAGCATCTGCTTTTTTTTGACCCCATCAGGTAGAGATGCCCTTCAGTTAACCTGATTCCTGCCCCCTCATATGGGGGAGAGTCAAACTTCTAACTGAAGAATCACATACATTCAGAAAAGTGCACAGATCGTAAGTATACATCTCAAAGAATTTTCACAAATAGGAGCACTCATGTAACACGCATCAAGTTCACATTTATCATTTTATAATGACTTTTCTTTCCTGATGATAAAAGCCCTTGTAAGAAGTTTGGAAAATGCAGCAAAGTATAATATCTGTACCCCAAAATGAGGACTGATAGTGTCTGGGTCTGTTTCCATTCTCTCTGTCTCTCCCTCTCACATATACAGACACACGCGTGTCTATAAATACACTCATGCAGGAACACAACCTCTGAAACTTTATGCATGTGTGCACAAACACACAGCAGTTTTATTAAATAGTTGCACTAAATGACACACAGATTTTTAGACGTTTCATGCTGTGGTCGTTGGCTTCAGCACCAGAAGGGCAGAGAAAGAAAGGGAAACTGAAAACCATCTGTCTTTTCATTTGGTAACAGGAAAAAGGGGCTTTTTGTGGGGGAGGAGATTGAAATAAATGGCTGACAGATAAATAAGGATGATTCATAGATTTTATTTATCCAATATTTTCCATCTCCTTGAAAACTAAGCACTGATGATGGAAAGTTCAGAAACTTCTGTGGAGAGAAGCTATTCTTGTAGATCAGAGGTGAGACATCAACGTGGACTTTTTTGGCTACTCCATGGAGCTGAACCCCTCTGGGCTGCAGTTCCACTTTGCCAGAAGACCAACTTTCCTTTCTTTTTCTTTTAATTAGCTCTCTTGGAGATACCAAAACAGACTAACTATAGCAACTCTTGTTTTAACAAAAGGAAGCTGAGTCAAAACGTTGGAAATGAGCCCGGTAGTTTTGTGAGTTGCAGCAAAATGATCTTCCCCATCACTACTGAAATGATGAAATGAGGCCTGCGTGGTGCTGCTTGCTTTGGTCCAGCTGAGTTTCCTGCACACATTGTCAGGAGAGAACAGTTGGCATCAGCTTCCCGTTGCTATTGGTTGTGCAGGATGTGTTCTCCATCTGCCTCCTGGCTGGCAGAGGGCTCAGCTTCTAAGTGGCGTTGGGGAGCAGGGAGACTTTGATGGCATTCCTTGAGTTGAATAAAGCTGTCTCTTTCAGAACTGCCACTTCCTTCCTTCCTACCTTCCCTCCTTCCCTCCCTTCCTTCCTTCTTCCTTCCTTCCTTTCTATTATACTTTAAGCTGTGGGGTACATGTGCAGAACGTGCAGGTTTGTTACATAAGTATACATGTGACATGGTGGTTGACTGCATCCATCCCTCCGTCGTCTACATTAGTATTTCTTCTAATGCTATCCCTCTCCAATCCCCCCAACCCAGCTATCCCTCCCCTTTCCCCCCAACCCCTGACAGGCCCTTGTTATGTTCCCCTCCCTGTGTCTGTGTGTTCTCATTGTTCAATTCACGCTTATGAGTGAGAACATGCAATGTTTGGTTTTCTGTTCTTGTGTCAGTTTGCTGAGAATGATGGTTTCCAGCTTCATCCATGTCCCTGCAAAGGACATGAACTCATCCTTTTTTATGGCTGCATAATATTCCATGGTGTATCTGTGCCACATTTTCTTGATTCAGTCTATCATTGATGGGCATTTGGGTTGGTTCCAAGTCTTTGCTATTGTCAGTGCCGCGATAAACATGCGTTTGCATGTATCTTTATAGTAGAGTGATTTATAATCCTTTGGGTATATACCCAATAATGGGATTGCTGGGTCAAATGGTATTTCTAGTTCTAGATCCTTGAGGAATTGCCACACTGTCTTCCACAGTGGTTGAACTAATTTACACTCCCACCAACAGTGTAACAGCGTTCCTATTTCTCCACCTCTTTTCCAGCATCTGTTGTCTCCTGATTGTTTTAATAATCGCCATTCTAACTGGCGTGAGATGGTATCTCAATGTGGTTTTGATTTGCATTTCTCTAATGACCAGTTTTTTTTTTTAATTTTGTTTTCCTACATACTTGTCATTTGAGTTATCACATATATGGAAAATGTATTGGACTTTTTGTATTTGTAAAATGTCTTTCAGATCACTCCTTTTTCCTTTCTTGTTAAAAACAGGTTCACAGACAGTATGAAGTGGCCTTTCTGTTTACATGTGTTCTTGTTGTATTGTCTTTGCAGTCGAAATCAGCTGTCCGCCCTGCCTGCCTGCCTGTGTGGTCTGCCTCTCAAAGTCTTAATCGCAAGTAACAACAAACTTGGATCATTACCAGAAGAGATAGGTCAGCTCAAACAGTTAATGGAGTTGGTATGTTATTGATTTTTAAGATGCTCTTTTTTGTTGGTTGACTGATCATAGCCTATCAAGGTATTCAGAAAAGCTTTTTGCTACAGTTGGACAAAGTGGAGCCTCTGTCGTTTGGGGGCAGGTGTATGATAAAGACATTAAGTGGGGAGAGGAACAGCTTTGAAACTTTACTGTGACAGACACAGTCCCCTGGAATTTAAAGGCTTCCTGTGATTTACAGTTCCTGAAGTTTGCAGGATTTGTAATTTCTGAAGTTTATGGGCTGTCATGTTGTAGTTAGATATTTTTTACAGATTGCATATAAATTTATGAAAAATTATGGATAAACTGGCAAAATAATCTACAAAGAAGTTAGTAGGTCACACTTCATGAAGATGTAAAATTAAGTCAGAAGATAGAACATGGTGCTCTGATTCTGTTGAGATTTTAGAAATCATTGTTCCAAATCGATGTAACTTTAAAATGTGACCATGTCCCCAGGGATAGAAAACAAGTTACAGATGAGCAGAGCTGGATTATACATGTGTGTGAAGCTGAGAAGCACTGTTCTATTTCAGCTGTTTCATTACTAATTTAAATTTACCTTTTTTCTAAGTTGGGAAAGAATGAATCCTTTCTAAACTTCCATTGAGCTAACATAGGTGAAGAAAGAGGCAGGAGTTAGCAATCAGGCTAGAAGATAATAGTCTTCATTTATCCTCCAAGCCTGGGTTTATTCCATTTCGACCTTGTGTTAGGCACACGGATTGATGTGATTAAAGGGCACAGTACCTGTCTTCCAGTAGATTCCAGTCTAGAACGCTGATGGTCGATACTTTTCGTTTTTTGTGCCAGCTCCTTTGGGGCTACCTGGGGCACCATGGTGCTGGCCTGTGAGGCCCAGACAGAGAATACTGCGATTGCTTAGTCATGTCTGCAGTGGGATTGGGCTGGGAGAGCGATGACGCCCATGCCACATAAGCATCGACTTTGACTTTAATACAGAAATGAATAATTGCTATGGAAAGGCATTCGAGCTGTAGAAAGTGTCTTTTTCATGGATGATTTGACAGCATTGTCCAAAACTCATTCCATCTAGCTCACATGCAGGGGTCCATCAGATCACTTACTATAAAGGCATTTGGTCACAGATCATGAGTGACTAGGACAAGACACTGGAATGGTGTGAAGGAACGTGGCAGCGGTTCATTTTTCTGTTCAGCTTTTTCTCTTCTGTACAATGGCTGGGGTTGCCCAAGTTTCAGTGTTCTCTTAGGTAAAGCACCTAACAAGAGGCCTACTAGCATCTCTCATTCCCCGGGTTCTAAGTGAGAGGCAAGATCTGGTCTGATGTCCTCCCCTGACTGAGTCTGCTATGCCCAAGGCACATGGTCTCACTGCTCAGATGTGGCTGTTAGGTTGCTGCCAAAGGGGGTAATTCTGAAAGAAGACAGATATTAATTTGAGCAGACACTGCTCACTCCCCCATTGCCCCATTCCCTAAAGTCTCTGTTACAAGGAGCATGTGCACGAGGCAGGGAATGATTAATTAATTCAGTCTTGGGGTTGTGAAAGGTTTAGGAGAGAAGAGACCTTTGAGAGGTCCCTTAAATAAGCCCTGTGGGATTTCCTAGGAGGAAAAAAGAAGTCAGGGACAGGGACAAGGAAATCATTCAAGGAGAAGAGACAGCTTGTGCAAAGACAGTACATCCTAGAAGTCCATGTTGTGCTTGGGAATGGGAAGCTGTTTAATCCTGCTGGAGTCTAGGTAGATAGAATGGGCTGGGCTCGCCATCCTCACACCCACTGCCTTAGATTTAGGCCGCAGGCAACTCCTTCACAGGGCATTCGATTCCCTCTGTGGTCAGGCCCCTGCTCGCCTCTTTGGGTTCATCTCTTGCCACTGGCCCCTTTGCTCTCTGAGTTCCTGCCCTCTGGGAATGCACCTTGTTCATTTTCACTTCTGGACTTGTGCACATATCACTCTTTCATCATGCGCTGTTTTTCCTCTTTGCTCCTTTCTTGGTTAGTTCTTAGCCAAGTTAGATCTCACTTCGTCCAAAAAGCCTTCCCAGATCCTCCAAACCTGAGCTAAGTGCTCCTAAGGCAAGCACTCTATATTTATTACTGAATTTTCATAGCATCACAGTTTTCTTACTAGGCTTTCTCTGTGCCAGCTCCCCCCACACCCTGAAAACTAATTACTTGCTGTTGCATCCCAGGTGCCTGGCACCTAATAGGCACTCAGCAGATGCTTGCTGAATGTTATTGTTGAATGGTGGAAGGTGAACCTGGGAAGATGGCTGGGGCATATTGTGAAGACCCTCAGGTGTTGTGCCTGGATGGGGTTGCGGGAGTGGGAAGACTCAATCTTGCTGTCCGCATAACTCAGAAGGTGCCATTTTTACTAGTTCTAGGAAACAAAAGATTTCCTATATGAAAGCTTTGGACGAAAGTGATGATCATATGCTGCTTCTTTTTCTTTTAGTAACTTCTTTTAGGTATCTGATAGCCACAGAATCCATGGTTGCTAAAATTTTGGTTAAGACTTGCAAATATAATATGAATAACAATTTAAAAAAAATCAAACAGACTTTTTTTTTTTTTTTTTTTTTTTGAGACGGAGTCTTGCTCTGTTGCCTAGGCTGGAGCGCAGTGGCGCTATCTCGGCTCACTGCAAACTCCACCTCCTGGGTTCAAGTGATTCTCCTACCTCAGCCTCCCGAGTAGCTGGGACTACAGGCACGTGCCACCCAGCTAATTTTTGTACTTTTAGTAGAGACGGGGTTTCGCCATGTTGGCCAGGCTGGTCTCAAACTCCTGACCACATGATCTGCCCGCCTCAGCCTCCCAAAGTGCTGGGATTACAGGCATGAGCCACCACGCCCAGCCCAGACTTCTTTTTTTTTTTTTGAGTCGGAGTTTCGCTCTTGTTACCCAGGCTGGAATGCAATGGCTCGATCTCGGCTCACCGCAACTTCCGCCTCCTGGGTTCAGGCAATTCTGCTGCCTCAGCCTCCTGAGTAGCTGGGATTACAGACACGCACCACCATGCCTAGCTGATTTTTTGTATTTTTAGTAGAGACGGGGTTTCACCATTTTGACCAGGATGGTCTCGATCTCTTGGCCTCGTGATCCACCCGCCTTGGCCTCCCAAAGTGCTGGGATTACAGGCGTGAGCCACCGCGCCCAGCCCAGACTTCTTTTTTTTAAGAGCAGTTTTATGTTCACAGCAAAATTGAGAGGAAGGTACAAAGATATTCCACATACCCTCCACACATGCACAGTCACACCCGTCATCGACATTCTCCACTAGAGTGGTACATTTGTTACAATCTGTGAACCTATTTCACTGCATCAATGTCACCCAAAGTCCATAGTTTACATTAATGTTCATCCTTGGCGTTGTACATTTTACGGCTTTGGGTAAATGTATAATGACGTGTGTCAGTTTCACTACCCTACAAATCCTCTGTGTCATCCCTCCCTCTTCCTTAACCCAAGCAACCACTGATCTTTACCGTCTCCATAGTTTTCCCTTTTCTAGAATGTCAAATGGTAATCATACAGTATGTAGCCTTTTCAGATTGGCTTCTTTCACTCGGTAATATGCATTTAAATTTCCTTCATGTTTTTCCATGGCTTGATGGCTCATTTTATTTTTTTAGTGCTGAACAATATTCTACTGTCCGCAGTTTGTCTCCGTACCTCCTGAGGGACATCTTGGTGGCTTGCAAGTTTTGCCAATTATGAATAAAGCTGACAAGTTGATTTCTTTTTTCATTATTTGGGTTCCCATGCAGATGGGTGACACATGGGTGAGATCAGTCTTCTGGAACTTTGTAGCGCTGATAGGTGCTTCTGTCTCATGATCCTTGGGCATAAGTGACACCGCATGCCATCCATCAGCTGTGCTCTAGGGCTCTGTGGACTGTTAGCACGTGGCACATGTGCTGAGCCTGAAAGTCAGCCCCACACCAAGCAGGGCTTTCCTCAAATATCCTTTGTCAGCTGCAGGGCTGACATGTGTAAACAGCGTTGTCTCCGGTGTCAGGACACACTGGCTGTTGGGTGGCTATAAGGGACAACCTGTTCTTTTCTTGGGCACCCTGTCCTGGGCCCAGCTCTAACTAGGGCTGCCCTGCATCCTAGTGACAGCACTGTCTTCACCTGGTTCTTGTGTCTTTTCTCCACCAGCAATAACTGTTGAACCCACAAGTTCCAGGATGTTAGAGCCATAGGGGATTGTAAAAGGCGTTTAGTCCAAACATGAATGAAGAAACCCAGGGCAGAAAGACAGCATATGACCTATGGAAGGTCACCCTGGTATAGTTAAATTGTAACATAAGCTGAAACACCTTTACCCAGCACAGTCCTATGGAAATATAATGTAAGCAGTAGATGTGATTTTAAAAGTACTGGTAGAATAAGTGGGTGTTGAACAATGAGAACACATGGACACAGGGAGGGGAACATTACACATTGGGGCCTGGGGAGTGGGGGACTAGGGGAGGAATAGCAGGGGATGGGGGTCTATGGGAGAGATAGCATTAGGCGAAGTACCTAACGTAGATGACTGGGTGATGGGTGCAGCAAACCACCATGGCACATGTATACCTATTTAACAAACCTGCACAATCTGCACATGTACCCCAGAACATAAAGTATAAAAAAAGTTCTGGTAGACACATTTACAAAAAAGAAGCAAGTGAAATTAATCATAATAATACTTACTTAACCTAAAATCACCAAAGTATTATCACTTCGATACATATAATGTAAAAAGTATTAATGAGATATTTTAGGTGTTTTTTTTCCTGCTGTTTGAAATCCAGTGCGTACGTAACTCTGAAAGCATATCGAGGATTGGACTGGCCAAATGTTTGGTGGTCAGCGACCGCCCTCCTGGATACGGCAGCTCTCCTACCCGTGTGTGAGCAAGCATGATGTTTGGAAAAAAGCATTTACTTATGAAGTTGGTAAAAATTTATTAAGTGGTCATTATTTAACCACAAAGAGGG